GTCGATCCCCTTCCATACGTCCTCTACAACTTTGACCCGTTCCGTGGGTTGTCTACCCCTCTTTTTGTTTGCCCACTTCGCCTCCCATACAATTCTCGGCAACCTCTCCTCTCCCATCCCACACATGCGATACTGCCAGGTCAGCTTCCTCGCGTCTCTTCCCGACCGTAGGGATTGGATCCCCAATTCTGCCCTCACGGCTGCATTACTTGTGCGCCTGGAGCATCCTAGGATGGTTTTCGCTGCTTTCATCTGCGCCGCCTCGAGTTCTTTCACTACCTTCTTATTTCCTTCCCATACTTCTCCGGCGTACTCTAGCGGCGGTACGATTACGCTCTTCAAAACCGTCAATTTGATGCGTGTAGCGAGGTGCCGGTTTGCGACTATTGGGTGCAGCTTCCCTGCTCGTGCTTTGCCCTTTTCCGCTACCTTGGACATGTGTGCATTCCACGAGCAGTCTTTTGCGATCTCTACTCCGAGGTATGTGTACTGGTCCACTACTGCAATCTCCTCGATCCCCCACTTCCATCTATGTTCTACTGGTTCCTCCTTGTTCTCGTTGCATACCATGACGGCACTCTTCTGAACGTTGGCAGACAATCTCCACTTATCAGTAAACTTCTTCGCCGCGTCAATTTGCAGTTGCAGTCCCTCAGGGGTGTCCGACATACCGACAAAATCATCCGCAAACAGCATTCCTGAAACCGATGTTTCCGTGTCCCCTACATTTACTCCCTTCAGGACTGCCTCGACGACTTCCAACAGATCGTTGATGAACACCTGGAACAATGTTGGGGACAGCGTGCAACCTTGTGGGAACCCCTGCGCAATGTCGAAGAATTTAGACAGTTCTCCGCCTAGCATGACCGCACTTTTCGTACACTCTGTCATCTTCTTCAGCACTCTCCACATTTTCCCCTTGATCCCGTATTTGGACAGTTGTTTCCACAACCCATTTCTCCACACTGTATCGTGTGCCATTTTCACGTCCAGGAAGAAGCAGTACGTCGGCTTTCCCGCCCTTATTCTACCTTGGATGATTCTCCCTACCGTGAATACGTGGTCTACTTACCCCCTCTTCTTGCGGAAACCTGCCTGGCCCTCACTAATGCTATGTTCCTTCTCCAATACTCCCACTATCCTAGTTCAGCAGCTCACATGAAACCACTTTTCCTACGGTGTTCAACAGTGTGATCTCCCTGTAGTTCCTGGGTCAGTCTTGTCTCCTTTCTTAAACAAGTTCACAACCACTCCTTCCCTCCATCTACTTGGCGTATACTCGTTTTTCCACACCCAATTGTATAGCAGTACCATCAGCTGGATCATCCCCTTCCCCCCAAACTTCATGAACTCGTTGACTATCCCATCCGCTCCTGCTGCTTTGTGGCACTTCAGCTTGTTCACACACGCCTCAACCTCGTCCTCAGTGAACTCCTTTTCTAGTTCTACGTTCCCAACGTCTGCCTTCGATGTCTCTTCTTCTTTTTGGGCCCATGCGTCCACCTCCTTCTTAAACGCTTGGTCAAAAGCTTCATTCTCCGAGGGCACTCCAAGTCTCTTGTAGTGTCCTGCTAGAACTTCCCTTTTTCCCTTCCCACATGCTGACTAATCACCGTTCACACCTCGCAAAGTTGCTCCCCCTGTTTCCCCCCCTTGCGCGGTCTTTTTAACCATTCCACTAGTCCCTTCCCAAATCTGCTTGACGTTCCCCTCCAGGCCTCCGTTGGCCTTCTGCACT